ACTATTCTTTCAAAAGGATTTTCTATTTTTATTTATTTTATTTTATTTTTTGCTGTTATTTTATGTTTTGTTGTTAAAACATATAAGTTTTTACATCTAGCTGTAAATATTTTACTTCCCGGGGCTAGTTCTATTCCTGACATTTTCCAATATAATACTAATGATTTATCTATATTTCTGTCATTTATTGCTACTGAGTAGTTAGCACTTATTATAAATTTAAATTTTTGGTATATGAGGTTACCTTTTACTGCACTTATTATACTTTTTTCTATGGGTTGTATGATTCTATCATCCGCTAAGTATATTTCTATGGGTGTATCTATTCCTTCTCTAAAACATGCTTTTATTAGTATTTCTGTTCCTCCTAAATGTACATATTTAATTGGATTTTTAGCCTTAATATCTTGTATTTCTTTATTTATTATTCGTTTATTTATTATTGGTATTTTGGCCTTACCTTTAGTGTATTTGCAATCTATGATATGTTCTCTTTGACTTACTACATAATATTCTTCTTTTTGTCGTTTAAACCAGTTTCTTATTGTTGGTATTTCGAATATTTTTGCTATGCTTAGGTCTAGTTCTTTTCCTTTTATTTGTTCAAATATATTATTATCAAATATTATTTTTTGTTCTGAAGATTCTTCGTCTTGATGTTTTTCTTTATTTATTATTTGTATATCTGTTTCAGTCATTTGTTATATTATAGAATTCATTGTCTGATTCTATTTCTATATCGTTATTTATTTCATTTTCTGATATTTCATATATGCTATCTTCACTTTCTAATTCATAATCTATGAATTCTATCTGTGTATATTTTTCATCGTCTATTATTATTTCTGATATTTGTTTTTTCTTTGGATTTTTAGGTAATTTGCAATCTCTAGCTATATGTCCTAATTTTCCACAATTATAGCAAGTACATTCCGTTAGTTTTCTTTTTGGTCTATATGGTCTTTTGGTTTTGTAGTTTTTTACATAATATCTTCTTCTTGGTTTTTTATATTTATATTTTGATCTGTATTTTTTATTATATTTCTTTCTATTTTTATAATACCTATCCGTACAACCAAATTGAGGTGCTGTTTTATTTTTGCAACATGCCAAGTTTTTTACTAATATTTTTTCCATTTTTATTTCTTCTTTATGTTTTTCACATAGTTCCATAAACCATCGTTGCAAGAATTTTATTCTAGCTCCTAAGGTGTCTGTTAATTCTGCTTCATTCCAACTTTTTATTACTTTTGAATTAAAAGGTTCTGGTAATTTTGTAAAATATAATTTTCTTATTTCTTTACTTTCTTCTATGTTATATGTTCCTTTATAATAATATTCTCTAAATGCACATGTATATTCATCTATATAACACATATTACATATTGCTAATTTTGTCATTAGATTTCGGTTTATGATTTTTTCTTTATTTTGTTCTTCTACTTCTGTTGTCATACTACTAAATTCATTTCTTATAGCTATTTCGTATTTATATAGTATTTCCATAGATGTAGTAGCTATTCCTCCATCGAATTTTTTATTACTTCTTAAAGTTGTTAAGCTTTCACTTGTTAAATTTTGTAGCCATAATTTTACTGTTCTCATAAGTGTTCTTTCTATATATCCTGGTGTTTCTGTCATTACTATTTTGTTATCTATTAATTGTTTTGATATATATCCTATCCATAATTGGATTGTTTTATTTATATCTGCTACACAGTCTAAATCTAAAAAATCATGTTGTCCAGTTATTGGTTTAGGCGTCCATCTTTTATTTAATTTTTTATCCATGTAGTTTTTTTTCTATCATATTGTTCATAGTTTTCATTATAATATTTTGGATTAAAATTTTTTGGGTCTTTTACTCCTGATGTGCTAGGTTTTTCGTCCATGTCTACGTCTTCTGTATTTACTTCTAAATTCTTTGTATTATCTATGTTTGCTAAAAGTTCCGTATATGTTTCGCTTGTTTCCGAATGTTGTTCTAGATCATCGTCGTTTATTTCATCAATTCTTATTTCAGGTAGATTATCTTTGTTATTTTCTTCTTTTTCTTCTAGTTCTTCTTCTAATTGCAATTTTTCTTTAAATTTAATTATCTCATTTGCTAATTTTGTTTTTTGTTCTTTTTCTCTTTGTTTAATTTCATACATTTCTTTTAATATTGCTAGTTCTTTTTCTAGTTCTATTATTTTAGTATTTTTTACTTCTTCTAATTGTTGTACTTCCTTTTTTGCTTGTTGTTTTATTTTTTCAATTTCCGTTTTTCTGTCTATTTCTTCATTTTCTTTTGTTATTTTTATCATAGCAGTTAAACTATCTTCTAGTTTTACCGTTTCTTTTTCTAACATTAAACTTAGATTATCACCTATTTTCTTATATCTTCTTCCTAGATTAGAAAATATTATCTTTATTTTTAATCCGTCATAGTTTTCATATGTTTTTTCATCTATTGCGTATTCTTCTTTATTCATTTATAAATTGTGTTGTAGTGTATATTCTAAGCTTTCTATTTGTATTTGTAGATATAAAATAGTTTTTCTCTGTGCTGTTATAGATTTTTTACAAATTTCTACAAATATATTACTATTAAGTCTATTTTACCTATGTCTCAATTCTTGTCTTTTTGCTATAATTATTTCGTTAAGTTTTTGTCTATATTCTTCATTCTCGTTATTCATTGTTTCTTTAAGTATTGAATATATTTATATTCTATTTTAGATATACTATCTATTAGTTGATCTAATTTGTCGTTATCAGTTTTTGTGATATTGAGTTTTTTATATTCCGGATATAATTTCTTTAATTTTCTTTTTATTTTTCTTAACTTTCTACTAGTATGTTTCTTCCTTAGTTTCTCGTTATCCATAGCTCTGATAATACAAAAAGTACCTATTATAACTAGCAGTAGAAGTCGATAGTGTAGAAGACAATATTAGTCTCCAGTGGTAGAATTCTAGTTGATCAGCTTCCATAACAGTCACTGCAAACAATGGTACTGTATAAAAAGTTAAGACTTCTTCAAAAGGGATTGATTTTCTACCTTTCTTGGCCAAAGCATCCGCCACTCCACTTGTCTTCATGTAGGCATCCTCCCCTTGCGGACTATCCATCTGGCGGAGGAACCACATACAATCATTCAAAATATTAGCGAAGGATATGAATTCCATTGGAACCAGAAATAATATGTATGTTAGGAGATTGTAGAAGGTTAAGTATCTCATGTGCATCAGTTTCAACTAGTAGTGTAAATTATATAATATAATGCTCTTATTGAATTCCTTGTAATAGAGCAAAAAGTTCAACATATATACATGAAGTTATGCAAGTATAAACTTCATGAATCCAAGACACCAATTACCATTACTATGATATATCACTCCTCCAATTTACTATTCTATGGATCCGAAGCCGCATCTATATTTAGCTTAAAAGTGTTAGGTCGAGGTGGTTGCCAACGTAACCATATTGGAGTCCGATTATGCTTTGAAGGCGGTGGATGTCCTAATTAAGGAGTTGTATCAAAATGTGTGAGATTCCTACTTGAACCATCACCAAATATTTATTAAAACATATCCCCAACTATTTAGCCCATTCAAGGATATTTTAGGTTTGCTTCGATACTCCATTGAATAAATTCATCATAAAATATTAGTTTTCTTCAAACCTTACCCTTAGCTCGAAAGATTTTTCCAAGACTTTTTCATGGTAAAGTTTGAAAATTAAGCGATGAGTCTTTTGCACTTATGAAGAAAATAGAAAAGGAGGAAGAATATTTGCACAATATTTCTTTAACGCTATCAGAAATTACATTAGGTGTCCTTAAAATGGATTTTACACTATATAAAAAAAAAGGGAAGAAATGGGGCTCTTAGTTATATCAGATATGTACTTTTACTATCAGATACACTTACATAGGATATATGTGAGCGAAATAGGAGAGAGACGAGCGAGAGAATCGATGTATCTAAGATACATGAATCTGGACATCTGACGACCAAAATCTGGCATGAATGGTAATTTTGAAAACTCAAGAGAAGACACATAATTATCCCCTGAATTAATGAGATTTTGTTGTTTTTGAAATAAACTATAAATATTTGTATATTTATAAATAATCTTACTAAGGTTAAAATAAAATTACTTTTAAATATAAAAAAAATCATTTTCTTAGGACAAACTAATAAAGAAATTAATTAAAGTACTATCACATGAATAGATAGATACAAAAGATATACTTTTTAATTTTCGGCTCGTAGCAATAAGTGTTGTTTACTCTTTTTGTTTGAACAATTTATTTAATTTATTTTTGTATAATTAATTAGTAACTCCTATTTTTAGTCAACGCACAACTACTATAAATTGGAACCAAATCAACACAAAAAAGAAGCAATAACATGACTTCCCCATTGTGTCAAGTCTTTATCCTTTGTTTTGTACTTAGTTTTTCCTCAACTTTTGTTAATTCAGTTATTTTGTTTGACTATAAAATTTCAATAAAAAATAAAGCTTCAGAAACAAATGAGGTTCATTGCACTTTGAGAGGACAAGATCTTGGTGTTCATCCTTTTAATCCAAATGATTTTTATGAAGTTGATATCCCTATAGTTGTTAAAGGCGATAATAGCGTCTTTTGTGACGTTAAATTGATAGTTAAACAATTTAAACATGGTAATTTTTATAAGAGTTGTATATTATTATAAAAGCGTTTAGTATTATTGATACAATGTGTGGTATTTATACATGAACAAGTATAGAAGATAAAGAAGTCTATTGAACGTGAGAGACCTAAAGAGAAGAGAAATAACTACGTATATGACTCAAACATACTAACGTACTAGGACTCTATATCCTTATCCTTATCATGCCCCCTCAACATCGGCTCAATTTGCTTGAGACCGATGTTGCTAACAAGGTGGACAAAGGACCTTCTGGGAAGTGCTTTAGTTAAGGCATCTGCTAGTTGAGCTCCTGTTGGAATGTGATGAACTGAAATTTTTCCACTTTCCACTTGGTCACGGACAAAATGAAAATCAATTGCGACATGTTTCATTCGACTGTGAAAGACTGGATTACGGCATAGGTAAGTGACACCAATGTTATCGCAAAAGACCTTAGGGGGACAAGGCAGCTTGACCCGAAGTTCTTGCAGTAGGTTGGTTAGCCAATTTAGCTCAGCTACAGCACTTGCTACAGCCCTGTATTCTGCTTCTGTTGAAGATCTGGCAACAGTGCGTTGCTTGTTGGAGCACCAACTGATTGGATTCTTTCCAAGAAAAATAACGTAGGCTGAAGTGGAGTGTCTAGTATCGGGAATACCACCCCAATCTGCATCTGAGTATGCAAGTAACTGAGAAGAGTCACCACGTTTGAAGTGAAGTCCATAGGTTATGGTTCCTTTTAGATAACGAAGAATCCTCTTTGTTGCTTGCCAATGCTTAGTAGATGGAGAGTGTTGGAATTGAGCGAGCTTGTTTACCGCAAAGCATATGTCAGGCCGTGTGAAAGTGGGGTATTACAATGAGCAAATGACCTGCCTATAAAGTGTAGCGTCTGCCGAATGAGAACCGTCATCCAAGGATAAAATTTCACTTGTGGACAGAAGAGTGCTCACACTGTTTGCATCCAACATATTGAACTTGTTGAGTACGTCCACAATGAAGCTACTTTGTGTGAGAGTCAATCCATGATCATGCTGGATAACTTCAACCCCTAGAAAAAAATGTAAAGGACCAAGATCCTTAATGGAAAATCTATCACCCAACAACTTAATTGTTGCATAAACTTGCGAGTTGTTAGAGCCTGTAACAACAATATCATCAACATAGATCATAACAATAATGAGAGAGTTAGGAGACCATTTGATGAATAAAGAATCATCAGATTTGGAACGAGAAAAGCCACATGATAAGAGGAACGTCTTTATTTCAGTATACCATACGCGTGGTGCCTGGCGAAGTCCATAGATAGACTTGTGTAGTTTACACACGTGATTAGGGAATCGGGGATCTACAAATCCAGGTG